AGATGAACTATGCACAGCACTAATGGCTGAAGAGCTATATGAGCTGGAAGCACAAATAAGACTTCCATACCATGGGTCTACAGGTAGAACACATTGCGTGCCAGTATTCTCTTCCATCTCTCCCTGCAAGAAGATCAGAATAAAAGGCTTTCTAACTAAAATCATTATGTTCAAATTGGCCAGCTAGGCTGGCTTTGTGATACAAAAGAGAGTACTGCAAATGTCAATAACAAAAAACATTGTTAGAATGCTGGTTATTCGGGAAATGCAGTTTAATGACATCAACTTGATTCCAGAGTGAATATGTCTCCTCCCTCTCCCCCCTTCCCAATTAAAAGTATATGCTCCATCTTCAGCGTGGATTATGCTGCTTATGGGCCAATTGCCAGGAACCTCTGACATGACTCAGTTGGTCTCCCCTTTTAATCTGGCACTGTACAACTGGACTAAGTATGTTAAATCTGCATGCTTATCCGAGTTTCCCAATGAGAAATAGATGCTGTCTATTTCTCATTGGGCACCTGGCTTATCTATGAATCCGTTGATCTTGGCATTTTAGCTAGGAATACCAATCCCTTCCAGTTCCAATTCAGAATCTGAGGCTACAGCCATTGAAAGTCGTATTCTAGGAGGTGGAACAAGCCCCTACAAAAAGGCTGTACATGACTTTTGAGAATTGACAACATTCAGAGTTCCCATTGCAAAGCAAGTAAGTTTCATCGGCATTTAATCACTTTCTTTTACCAAGTCAGGAAGCATCTCACCACAGCTAGGTTTAAGAACCTGAGTGCAATGAGTCCAGCATAATAGAGAGCCCCATATGCCAGTATTTCTTTAGTGTTAATTTAGCCAGAAATGTCACTATCTATAAAATAAATCACCAAATTGACAAGATCAGCTTTAGTATTGCAGAAAGAAGCATGATATAAAACTGCAAATAACTATAAATGCAAGAAGGATTAAAGCCTCTGAGGTACTCTGGTTCCCCATCCAAGCTTTTGTTTTCCGTTATTCTCAGAGAAAAGTGGCCTTTTGTTCTCTTCTTTCTGCAGATGGACGGACAGAGCAACTGCCAAAAGGCATTCAAATTTGCTCAATTGGATAAGACCAACTGAACTGGTGCTCTGCCTCTGACAATGGCCAAAACCCTCTTTACAATCCAAGTACTAGGCCAAACATACAGAGCTGAACAGCACGTGGCAGTGGCAACCAACTGTGACCCAGGTGTTAAGTATTTCCCTGAAGCTGCCTTTTCTCTTAGTGTTCCAATGTGTACCCAACAGATTCCTGGATACAGATATATTCAACATACTTCTTAGAAGATTTGAGATAAATATTTAGACGAATAAATGCAGTTGTGTTGTTTGTTTACAGAACTCATCCTCTGAAGAAAGCAATAATGCAATTACCGCCGATAGCAGATCTTTAAATGTAACTATACACTAAAATGAATGAGGAGGGAAGATTAAGTGATTTTGTTTTCAATAGGTTGTTTGATTTATGCCAGCCATCATTAGCAAAGTATAACATCCTCTAGATTAACAAAACTGAACAATTTGCTACATAATACAAGTTTACTCTTTGCATGAAAGTGATGAATATTGCATTTAAGGTAATTTTTCTTATTGTCGTAACAGATGAGCTTTACAGATCTTTCAGGATATGCTTTCTGATTAAGCTGTTTCACAGTTTTAATCTCCCTATATTTTCAGAAAATCTGAAGACATTTTCATTAAAAATGTAGAACAGGAATAAATCTGGAAACATTTGACACATAAAAGAGTATCACAGGTCAAGAGACATACATAAATCTTTATCCATGGTGCTGCCAAATGGCAGAGCAATTTTATTTGCCCCCATCAAATCTTAATCAAGGTTTGGTTTGAAATAACCCACATCTGTATTTGTTAGGAAAATAAGTTTGTCCTCTTTTGGATTTTTTATGAAGTGCCTAAGCACAAATGCTCCATATTTCCTAGTGATGTGTGGTACTGACTTACCCACACCTCTGCTCATCCTGTGACATCTGTCGACAGCACAGGTGGGCAATTTGTGACTCTCCAAACATTTTGGCTCACAACTTCTATCAGCCCTAGCTCACATAGCCAATGATGAGGGATCATGGGAGTTGAAGGCCATAACATCTGGAGGGCCATCATTTGTCCACTTCTGGTCTAGAGAACAGAGAAGTCACTCAGAATACTGATGCTGGCAATCACTAACCAAGAAAAGAAAAAGGATAAACAGTTGCTAGGAGCAAATTATAATTACGTTTCCCTTAGGAAGATCAGTAGCACATCCTTTTCAGCAAGGATGGAACAAGAAACAGTGGCTTTAAATGAGAGAAATATTAAATATTAGCAAGTACAGGAACACTAGAATCAGGGATGTAGAAGACTAGCACAATGTCTTTTTCTGAAAAGGGTAGACAAACTTCTGTTAGAAATGCTTTGTGCAATGGCAGGGGATACTGTTGGCTTTAACCCAGCTCCAAATCTAAATTCAGGCATGTGTTCCTTGCATGTTTACTCTTGTTTGTATATGGTTACGCTGGTGCCTCCAAGATTCACATCTCAGCTCAATTGTAATGAAGCCAGAGCCACATCCACACTATGGAAAGACTAATCTTACTGCCTCAAGAGGATTTTAAAGTGGAGTCATATATATTTATGGAGGTCAGCTCTTCTATAAATGGTCATTAGCCAAAGTAGCAAATGCAACCTCTATTCCAATAGTGCTATGCCTTTAAATGCCAGCTGCTAGTGGGCAACCACAAAAGAGACTGTTGCCTTTATCCTGCCCTTACAGCTTCCCAGAATCATCAGTCTTGCTGCTGTGTTGGACTATATCCAAAATGGCTTATGTTATTATATGTGTAACATAAATGATTGGATGTGGATGTACGTCATGCATGTGCACGCACACACACACACACAATGCCCAAAGCTCCTTCATCAATTTTAACTAGTTTAAACTAGGTTTAACTAGTTTGGCCAAAGCACATCAATAAGTTAATGCAAATGGCAGCAAGCGTCCAAAAGTCAGAAAATGCTTTTAATTAGGGGTTTGTTTTTTTTTAAATAACATGTATTTAATTGGTCTCTCCTGATTGGTATATAGGGCATGGGATATATACTTATCTTCACATAGCACATTTCAGAGCATATCCCATACCATGTGAATAAACCATGCAGAAGTTCATATATCCTCCCTACTGAGATTGATCTACAGAAAGTGACTTTGCAGAACTGCAGTCTGCATCGCAGCAGGATATTTGTGATAAGTACACACAGAAAGAACACTCTCCAAACAGAACTGCCTGCTCCTCTGTACAGAAGCACAAAAGGAAACATGATCTCAACACATGCTTCAGAATTATGAAGTATTGAGTTCTATGAATTTAAGAACATTTTAAAAAAGTGATTCCTGAATAAACAAACTTATTCTCCTATTTAGTTTCATGTACTATGAACATATTATCTGCATATTTAAAGTTTCTTCTTTTAAAAGAAGTAGTTTTACCTCTGAAAAAAATTAACGAAATGTTTATGCATTTTAAGTCTTCTCCTAACTCAGCTGAAAATGACAGACAATGTAGATGTTCAGCCAACAATACTACATGGCTGAACCAAGAATCCAGGTTAACCTTCCCCTCAAGTTTAATGGATGTTGAACATCATTCTAGGGAATTCAAACGGTTATAAAACAAATTGTTTCATCGGTTCAAGTTAGGTTTATTTCACCTCTTAAATTTGGAATTTTAAAATAACAGGAGTGCAAATATGTAAACCTGATATTATACATCATACCAGTAAACCCTGTAACAAGGGTGCCAAAACTCTCCAAGGTGCCAAAACTTTTCTATCAGAACCGGTAAAAATGGTACCATAATGGTTTACAGTGAGGATATGCGGCAGAAGGACATTTTAACCTGCGAATTCTCGTAGCAAAACCTTTGGGAACTGTCAATGAAGAAGGTCTAATAAAGCAATCCTAACAGCATCACCCTATGCAAGTTTACTTGAAAGACCGATGGAAATTAATGGGTTTATTGCCAAGTCCATATAAAACTGCATCATAATACTTATGTTTCAACTTTTCAGAAGGAGTTAACCTGAAAGAATGTATTTCAGGAGTTACTGGCAAAACTAGGAATCCTATGTATTATAAGTGCACAGTATGGTTTAACCAGGCACTCACCTGAAATCCAAACCAACCGATTATGCATATCCGTGAGGCTTTGGGACGAAAGTGAAGGTGACTTAGCACATGTGCCAATCTCTCTCACATACACACTCACACACACATTTCCCCTGCTTTCAGCTGAGCAATAAACCTTTACCAGCTTAAAAAGGCTCTGAAACAAGCAGGTTAATAAGCAAATTAAAGGACCCTCATTCATACTGGAACACGTAGGTTTACAACTGAGTCAGAGCTTGCCCTTTAGCTGCCACCCCTGCCTCCCAGGTGAAAAAAGGCCCTTCTCGACCACCTAATCTTATACACAGGCTACAGACAACAAAGCACCCCATTTCCCCCTACAACCAGCCACTGCACCCCACACTTCAATGGTGCACCAGGAAAAGTATCATCAGGAGAAAGAGAGAAATGAGAGAGTCAACGACAGCCTTTGTTTTACAGCACGGATAATATCGGTTAAAGATACACCCCCTCTTTCCTTCTCACTCTCTCTGAAACAGCTCCCCAATCTCTGCTTCTCTCTGAGCAGAACCAGCTAGAATTTTTCTCCACCGCTATGGCTCCGGAGAAGAGCTCACGACGGTGAAATGTGCGTGCGTGCGTGCGGTGAAGAAGAGATTCCCCATATGACCTCCCCGTAGGTGTGACAGTGCACCAAAGTGGAACAAGTCTCGTTTCTCCCAACCTTTCCACCTTCCTCTGAAAAAGCCTTTGCACACTTGGGGAAGGGGGCGGCTCGGGGGCTGCTTCTGCCGCGGAGGAGGGAAAGGCTTCCCTCTGCCCTTTGCATGCGCACTCACCTCTGCGTGCCTCTCTCTCGCCCTCTCGCCAAGCCGGCTTCCTTCGCCCTCTCAACGCTGTCTGCCCGTAGCCAGAGCGTCTGACCACTTCCCCCTCCGGTGCCTCTAATGGAGGGAGGGCAGCAGCGGCAGGAGCAGGAGGGAGCTATCTGTTTACTAGCCAGTTATCGCGAGAAAATGGAGCAGCGGCACCAGCAAGAGAAAAAGGAGAAGGCAGAGCCGCTGCCTATTGGCTTCTAGCTGGCACGGTAGCCTGGTGAGTGGAAGGGCGGCCCACGTGGAGCCGCTTGCAAAACTGGGAAGCTGCGCTCCTTGTAAGTCCCGTCCAACTCCGTGAGAACGGCTCTGGGAGCCCGCGGAGCGCCTTTCCCTCTCTATTTTAGAGCGCTTTTTTTCCTGAAGAGGAAGAAACGCACCGTGGCGCCGAACTTAGTCCTTTGCGATTGATGTTTAAGTCTCGAATTCTTTGTTTCCCCCATTACCTCGCCACACCGCGCTTGATTATAGATGGGTACATTGTACCGAATAATCCCTGGTATCTTTTCAGAAATCTTTCCCTTGGGGTTGTCGCACGCTGTTCTTCAAAGGCAAGCGATATTGGCGCTTTCTTGGAACGTTCACCAGTGTTTTTCTACGTTCTTTGGGTTATATTGCGTTAACTGTTTCTACAGTTCACTGGAAAAGAGTATCTTCAGAATAAATAGTAGTAATCCACATGCAGAAGAACGTGAAATTTCTCATTCAAGAAGCCCTAGTTCACAGAAGCTGCAATAATTATCTAAGTTTCCACTCTTTGTAGATTGTATTGTTTATTGACCAAATTTATAAGGGTACCTAAAAACAGAGATTCTCAGTGTGTACTCTGGTGTGTGCACAAGTTTGCAGGCTAAGAGATACCGTCCTGGAAGTTGTCCCAATTGCATTCCCCCCTTTTCTTTTTAAAAGCTTATTGTGATCTGAATAGTGATGTTATCTCCAAGCTTAATAAATAAAACTAATTGAAATCTTTGTAAGCTTCTTTTAAAAATCACATTTTCATCTCTAAATTTAGCACAGGAAACTGGGAAAACCCCAGAATGTTGCAGGATATCTAAACATTGCAATACTAGGAGAGGCTTGCAATGTTATTTGTTTACAGTACCGGCATGAATATCTAAAAACAGTCACAGTAATAAACCTCTGACTTCATTACATGTTGAAACTATATAGCATGGGCAGCAGGCTTATCTTGCTTGCCAGTTACCAGAACACAAGGACAAGGAAGTAGATACCCATGTTTATCATTATTTCATTCCCTTCAATAGATATTCCTTTAAAATCAAGGTATAACCAATGCACAGGAGTCCTCATATTTGTCTTAGTGATTTTTTCTGCTGCCCATTGATCCCATCCTGGCAAATGAGAACAGTGCTGTACACATGTTCAGAGGCATTAACACTTCAGTTAATTTCTGAAGAAATAAGTTGGGTTTCACTGCTACATATCCTGCACATGTTTACCCTTCTCTCACTTTTTAAAATAAAGAGGGAAAAAAATCTCCCCCGCCCCACCACTCGGGTTAAGAGAGGCATCCATTCTGTAAAGGTCCGGGGGTTCAGAAGGTTTTTTTCTTTTTCAAGAAAACGTGGCTGCTTTAGTCGACAGGGATCTTGCTGCCAATTGTCACCATGCAAGTTACCTAGACCCACTTATCTAACAGTGTGTCCCATCTGGCAACATGGGACTGGATATGGAGTAGACATGTATAGGATTGTACTGTAGGGCTGAGTAGACACTTGGTTACCTGTCTTACAGATTTGTTGCAAAGGTGACAAGAAAAAGTATGATATTGAAAACTCAGAGGTATCAATATATTATTAAAAGCTGATGGAAGTTTTGGAATATGGGAAAATCAAATGGCGTACTAGCTAAACAACTATTCCTTGCGCAACCAGTAGCAGCAGTTTTGCTACAAAAAGGATACAGGGAACTGTTGCCCTACCCATCCACCCCCCTTCCCCCAGACAAGCTGCTTCCATCCACTGAAGAAGAATCTGGCTGGGTTGAAATATAAGGATAAACCACATTGAGTGAGTTTCCCCTTGTGGCGGTGGTCGTGGCTATTTTGAATATTCATTGGCATGCCATAACTGCAATCCCAGAGAAGGATGTGTTGTCGGGGTATTGGACGACCACCTGCAACCCTAAAATAGCCCATGAGTTCTTCATAGCTTGTCAACCAGTAATCCGCCCTCCCTGGGTTTGCACACAGCTAGAAGCCACATGGCTTCTTAGTAATGCTTGGTTTGGTAATGTGGTACCTATGGGCACTTACTAGCCATGGTGGGCTGCAGTGATCATGCAATCAAGAACAAATGGAGGTATACACTCACCTTTACCAAACTTCAGTAAATATTCTAATTACTGGTCCTGCTTGTAAATATCTGGCCCACTCTTTCTATAGGATGACAACCAGGGAACATAATATTAGAATAAATCATAACTAGGTGCAGTTAGAAAGAAACTGGCTTTTATGTCCAGGTGAATATTGTTCTAATGATGATTTTATTTCTCCCAACATATGGGCCTCAAAGTGCAGATATCTGGATTATCCGCTGAGTGCCCTACTGAAAAACACTGAGGTTGAGGGACCCTTTCTTAGCAATTGATTCAATGAGTAAAATGGTTCACTGGGGGTAGCAGTTGATACCACAGAACTTTGCTTGTGTCTTACCTTTCTGTAGGCAACATGGCAATCCTCTAGCAGTCACAGAGGCAAGGATGTTCTCCCACCCATTCAGACTGCAAGCAGGGGCTAGCAGCCATTCCCAACCTGGTGTCTGTCAATCAGCTCCAGCCAGCTTGGCTGATGGTCAGAAATGTTGGTAGCTGTGCAGCAGCAAGGACATGTGGAAAGCCTGTGTGGAGGAGCCACTTTTGTCTTCCCAGGGCTGCTCTGCCTTTCAGATGCATGTGGCAGATGGAAGTATCAAATTATACCCAGCATGGAGATGTAGTAAAGGCATATGCTACACTCTTGCTTCTCCCGTCATGGAGCTTTAGAAAGCAAAGGGCCCCGTTAGAACAAAAAAACTGGTGACCTCACATCTGTCATTTGGCCAAAACTCACTCTGCTAAAGCAGGTTATGACAGGAACAGCATCCTTGAGTGAGACATTCATTGTCTTCATTATTTCTACAGCTTAAAAATTATATTTAGATTCTGCACTTTAGAACTTGCCTGTACCCAGAATTCCCAATGTCAGTCAGATTTATTTTAGCCAGCCTTACTCCAGATCAAACCATTGCTTTGTCTAGTTCAGTAATGTCTGATTGGCAGCACTTCTCCAAGTTTTACAGACAAATCCCATCTAGATAAATCTGCGAAGGCCAGAGATGGAACCTTAGGCATCTTCTAGGCAAAGCATGTGCTCTTATCACTGAATTGTCCTCCTTCCCAGCTGACCATTTATTGGGGCTGATATTGTCTATGTACCTCAACAATAACCAGTGGAACTCTTGCTCTGTCGAGTATGTAGCAGCCCTCAGCTTTTAAAACTCTGCTGACATCATCTGTGGGAATGCTGGAGGCTCATCCTAAAACACAGCAACGAAGACCAGCTGCAAGTGGAAACAGAACAAATATTCACAGCATGACGTTAGAGAGCTTGACTTGCTGCTTCTTTTCGGACTCTGCCAGTATAGCAGATGGCAGACAGGGAAGGAAATTATTATTCCAGTGGAAAATTACACAGAATTTCTTGGTCATGCCCTTTTCCTTTTCTTTAAAAAATACCTTTAAAATCATGGTTCAATATATTCTGAGCTGAAATATCTATATAGACTTGAGTGCTTCTTTCCTTAACAAATGAAGTTAGTAAGAGATGCATTATTTGTTACTATAAACACATAACTAACCATAAAACCTCTGGGCCAGTTGCCAGAACTGTGTGCATAGAAGACACAGTTTTGGTCTGGTAGCCAGAACATTTTGAGTATACTAGGAATTCTTGGATCACGAGTCAGCATTATGATTTTTACTCAGGGTTCATACTTGAACTATGTGCACTAAAGAACCAGGTAGCTCTATCCCAGTGGATTGTTCCATAGGTGGCTGTTGCTGCCTGTGAGTAGCTTGCCCATGTGTACTTCTTATCCATCTTGGTAGGTTCTGATGAACTCAAGCCAGGTAAGTAGTAGCAGAAAAGTGTGGCGAGATGACAGAAGCAGTTGTGTGTGTTGCTCTTACATGGCAAATCCTCTGTGGGCAGCCTCATGGAACCTCAAGGTGCTGCATCGTATATACCAGCAGCAAAAGATTTGACTGTTAGCATTGCTCTGCTCTGCAGGTGTGTACTAGCCTCTTCCTACAGCTCTCTCCAAGCAAACAAACAGAGAGTTATAGCAATAAAAGCACCAGGCTCTTTACAGATAAATAGATGAAGACAATCCCAATAATTGCTTCAAGAAGTTTATGTTCAAGGCCAGTGTTTTTTTTTGGGCTGCATGCTGAGTCTTCTTCAAAGCTAGACAAGGGCTCTTCAGAAGAAGAAGAAAAAGCTCAGGAATGGTGAACAAACTTGCCAACTTTTCTGCTGTTAGCCATCTATGATAGCCACAGTGGATGCATTCTAGATGGTTGTACTTGCCTCATCCTAGTTGGGATAAAAAGTCTTTTGACTTCAGGTTGTTATTTTAGGATACAATTCCAGTATGGCATTTCTCCTCTCCTAAGCACATCTATCAAGAAGTGGATCCCACTGATTTCAGTAGGGCTTCTAAGAAACCTTATTTATGATGTTCCATCTAAGAACTCTAATCAGTGAAACAGAATTAATGCTTTTATTTTCTATTATTTAAATGAAAATGTTGTTTTCATTAGTACTAGCTCAAAATCAGGGGCAACAGCCAAAAAAGCTGTAGTCCTTTTCACCACTGACCCTAATTTTTTATATGTCCCTTTTAATTTTCAGATTGGATTTTACTTCCTTTTGTTGCTTGCCTCTTGAGCAGTCTGTTTATTAATGACTTTAACTCCCAAGATTCCAGGTAGCATGACCATATCTGACTTAACTTGTGTTCATCTGATTTTTTTTTTCTTCTTGACAAATTCATGTTTTAGCATTGACCACATACTTTCAAATATACAT